AAGGCTGAATCAGGATCAGGAATTTCAAATGATAAACAGAAATTGCTGGAGAATCTCAATTTGTCGAATAGCATCTGTGGTGAGAAAGCAGAGTTTATGTTTTGGATTCAGTGACCTATCTTCAGAACAGGAATTTAGATCTGGATCTGGATTAGTGACTGGTCTGGGGCCAGAATAAGGACTCATGTTAGGGGCCACTTCCACAAGATCCCATAGAAGCATGTGGAGTTGCTGGATGTTGGTTTCAGCTCTGTAGGCCTCTAATTAACGTGGTATCCCCCAGTTTTTCCTGTATCTAACAAAATTCTCTACACAGACAGGCTGACCATGTCCACCACCAAGTGGGGTCATGAATATCTGGGTGGACAGAAATTTTCCTGGCTGGAAAATCTGTAACTTAACCCACTGCCCAACCTAGCTCTCTACTGGGTTTTCCTTCCTTCAAAGTACATCTTGCTCTGCTTTTTCCCTTTTGCCATTCTGCTGGCTGCTGCTTTGTGTGCAGTCTGTACGTTTTCTGTTAGAAATTGCAGTTTTCTCATGGCAGAGACCTTGGGCTCCATCGAGTCTAGTCCTGTTATGGGTTCAATACCTCTCATTCCAGTCATTAGAGCATGAGGGTGGATCTAGTTTAAGTGGTGGGTGTGTTCCTTATGAGCATGAGGACAAAAAGTAAAACTACGTTCCAGGTGGAGCTGTTTTGCTGGATGACCTTTTGCAGCATCCCTTTGATGGTGTGATTCATCTTCTCTACAATCCCACTGGAACCATTGGCCGATGTCAAATATTTTCATCACCGCCTGCATTAACTGGGCTGTGAAATGGGTTCCATGCTCTGAATCTGTACTACGGGAAAGATTCCATCTAGTGAAAACATGCTGAATTAAGACATTTGCTGAAACGTTAGTAGTGTTAGTTCAAGCAGGGAACACCTTTACCCATTTGCTAAAAATGTCCACAGTGACCAGGATATACTTATATGCCTCTTTACAGCATAGTAGGGGGCTAATATAGGTTATTTGAAGGTCAGCCCACAGTCCTTCTACTAACCTAGCACGTCTTAACTCTCCTTTATTGCCATACTGTCTGGATTGTTTTGGCAAAGATGAGACAATTCTCAACATAACGGGTTACATCTTTTCCCATTTCAGGCCACCAACAGAAACTTTTAATTCTGTCAGTCATGGTTTCATTCATTTATGAGCCTTGATATTGTGGCATTGAAATTTATGGGAGGCAATGGCCTAGTGGTATTATCGCTGGACTGTTAATCCAGAGATCCAGATAATGTTCTGGGGACCCAGGTTTGAAGCCTGTCATGGCAGATGGTGGAATTTGAATTCAATATAATACCTGGAAGTAAGAATCTAATGATGACTATGAATCCATTGTCAATTGTCAGGAAAACCACCCCCCCCCGGTTCACTAATGTCCCTTAGGAAGAGAAATTGCCATCCTTACCTGGTCTGGCCTACATGTGACTCCAGACCCACAGCAATGTGGTTGACTCTGAACTGCCCTCTGGGCAATTAGGGATGGGCAATAAATGCTGCTTGTTCAGCGACACCCTCATCCCAATAATGAATAATAAAATAAATTGCAAATTCACTTGATTTTGTCCTGGAACCAGTACCACGTACCATCCAATGTTGAGAACAAGTCAGTAAATAATAATTAACATGTCCTCCCACTTACTAGATGACGCAGGGATCGTTCCCTCCTGTACTTGTAACTTGCTGTTCTGAGCTTGTATCGGACCTTCATCTTTGGTTTGGCTCACAGCGATGCGTCTATTTGTTTGGGAATGGGGGAGCTGCCATGGTTCCCCTGGTGACCACCCTGCTAAGTCAATTTGTCTGCCTTCATGTCCCAGTTGGGGAAGTTCGGTGGTGAGCTCTAACATTAACGATGCCGTACGGGCGACCTTGGGTAGTTTGGGGAATAAATTTGAGCAGGGGTGGAGACGGCAATGGTTTCCCATCTACCAAGATGAGTCCTCTAGCTTCCCACAGTGGCAGGAAGTCAGTTAAACTGTTGCAGGCATTTTCCAGGGTGGCTGACCACTTAGACTACAGCTGCTAGGTGGAAGCGTGAGCACTCATTTTATTGGGGAGCTTTAGCAGTTCACCTCTGCGGTTCCCCATATATCTACAAATTTTCCTCAGGCTGAGGGGTTCTCCCTTCTCCTCCTCAGGTTCCTATGAGTCACACCCCATTTTGTTTCAGCCCAAATGGTCCCTTGGGGACATTTGTTGCCATTGCCTGATACTCATAGGATTCTCCTCCGTAGGTAAAATTGTCGGCTATGAATATGGGCACTTTGGTATGTTTGATTACAATGTTGCAATCCTGCAACATTAGGAGGCCAGCACATTATACAGTTGACTGACAGTGCCATCTTTATTCCTGCCATCCAGGAAAAATTGAATTGGGTTGGGCTCCGTCAGAACAATAATTTAGGCAAAACATTATACTGCCCAGAACATGGCTAGGAAGTGCTTCTTACACATAGAGAAACCCTGCTGTCCTGGTGAAAGAGTCCAGGAGACATAGGCTACCGCTCTGGAAGTCATTGTGTCATCCTTGGAGATGTACGGCTGCCAGTGTGGCATCCATGGTTGCAACTTCCAAGGTGAAGGAAATTCTGAGTCAGGTACTTACAGTGGAGGAGCCTGTGCTAGGGCCTGTTTTAATTCAGTAACAGCATCATGTGCTATTCAGTCTATTCTCACAGGGCATTCTTTTTAAGCAGGTTGGGGTTCCAACAGAATCCCACTAATGCCAGAAAGGAATGCAATGAGCTCACATCCCTGGGGAAGGGCAAACAGGTTATGGCCTTGATGCACTTTCCTTCTAATTTGTGTTTCCCCTGAGCTCTCACAGTTCCCAAGTATAATCTGGGACATCACAATCTGTGCCCTTCTTGGGGCTAACTTTTAGTTCTAAAGTGGTGAGGAGGGTCAACAGTTCCTTTCACTGCATCCAATGTCTGGTCCTTGTCTCCGTCTGCAGGAGGAGATCATCCATGCACTGTACCAAGCAGTCTTGTTGGGAAAACCTCTCCATTCCTTTAGCCAGCTTCTAACACAATATTGATGGAGAATTGTGAAAACCCTGAGCAGATTCATGTGTATTGCTGACTGTGAAGTGTGAAAGTGAATTTGTATTGGCAGTGTTGGTGGAGGGATATGGACCAAAATCCATTACTAATGTCCAGCACAGTGAAATGTTTTGCCTATGGGGCCTGCCTCACTATGAGTTGGGAATAGCTGCTAATGTCACTGCTGTCAAAATACATTTGGAAGTCAGCTGTGGGCTCAAAGACAGGGATCTATTTTTCTACCTCTGCTAATTGTGCCACCATAAATGGGGTGGTATAAGTAATTGGATTATTGTTCTGGCTGTCGTGAAAGAATGTGGTCAGAGATTTCATCAGGACAGGGCAAGATCCTCGGGGGTGGGTGGGGGGGGGGTGGTTTGCCAAAGGAAGGAGATGGGGTCCTCAATCTTCCTGCTGTCAGTGTATCTACTGGCTTTTTCTTCCATTTCCTCCCAGTCTATCCATATTTGCTGTCCCCTTCTGATTTGATTGTCCCAAAAGAGCATATCAATCCCTTCGGCATGAAAGATTGGGACTTTAATTGATGGCATTTTGAATGGTCTGCAGTGTTGATTCTGTGTTCCTTGGCTGCCTGGTGCAGGACTCTGAGCATAACTTGCAGGTTTTTGCATTTCTCAGTCAGCTCATCCACATCTTTTTGGGCTGCATCCAATCACTGACCATGCGCTACACCTCCTGATATGATTAATCACACTGGCTCTGAACCTATCCCAATGTACCATGTTCAACTGATTCTTCTGCTCCTGCTCTGCTGCTTTGACCCTTTCATTCTCCAGTTCCTGCTTCGCTTCCTCCAGCTCCTTACTTAGCTTCACCTTCTCCCATTCTCTACTTCTCAGATGTTCTATGCAGCTGACTATCAGCCTTGCTGAGTTTTAAAGTGAGCTTCCCTTCAGCTTTCTGCACCACCACCCAACATTTCTGTCGCACAGGTCCCAGATTCAATGTTTACTCACTGCAATGGTCGTGTAACAGAATTGTGTAATTGTGTAATTGTGTAATAGTTTACCAGGTGTCACCATATCATTTGTTACTTGCAACAGGTCATTCAGCATTAGATTATTTTAGTGTATTCCTTCATCAGTAGTACTGTCTAGTTTTACTTCAAGATTTCCATTGTGGTTTTTATATTTACAATTTTGAAGTAATTAGGATGAGATAATGCTCAGGGGTATTGCACTCATAAAGCCCCTTGACCCTTATCCATATAAGACTTCAACAATCTGATTTATGAGAACAAGTTGAAATCAATCTCCTTTAATCAAAAAAGATGTGGGTACATCATGCAATATATCTGAGAGCAAAAGAAAATTATTTGGTTGAGAAAAAATATTTCACAGAACAAATTATACCATCAGGTATGTAAATTAGAGCTTCAAATTTAATATTCTTCTATTGTGATGGATCATTGATAGCTTTCAACTACTCTGATGAAGTCAGTAACACTTATTTAACTCATTTAATAAACTGACTTCAATATTTGCTTTTAGATAGTCAACATCCCAGGTAGACTTGCTCAACTTCTTCGAAATCTGTTGTATTGTTACGCATGGAAGCCATTATAAGAAATGCTTGAGTTTTGAGGATTTTGTTATTTATAAACATAAAAGGCTGCTATATTTGATTTAACAAGTTTCATGTGCTTCTATTCAACTTAAATAAAGTGATATATTTTGTCTTCTTCTGAAATGTATAATTGTCATTCTAACTATGTTTATGTATATGATGCAGTGTTAAATTAGTAACTCAAGGTACAAAAAAGCAACAATTTGAAACTGAAGACAGTTCATTTTAAAGTAGTATCAATAAAATTTGACATTTTTTAATTTTCCAAAGAGCATCAAAAATCCATACATTCATACAGAAATATGATGTGACTTCCATTGAAAGCTTTACTGATGAGTTTCATCTTTCTTTCAAAATGTATTTGAGCCTGACTGCAAAACATCAAAAGCAAATGCACTGTGCATACACAAATAATTTTTCAGCATTTAATATATCCAACCTGCCCAAAATTTCAACTGACCTAGAACATGGTCACTATTGAGACTAATTTCCAGAGATGTGTAGAAATGTGTCAGCTACTTATCAACTTACAGAAACATGTGGCTGATCATTAGCAATATTGAGTTAGTACGATGCATGTCTGTGACAAATTTGAAAGATTCTGGTACACAAAATAAATGATGTTATGTGATCATCAGAGAATTTTCCTTCAAATAATGGTGTATGCTGACTACAGATTTCATAAAATGCCAGTCTGAAAATACAAATTTACAGTAAAAAAGCCCTTTGGTGTGCAGTAAGGTGATATGCTACTTCGTGAAACAGCATGTGGCAAGTTTGAGTCTTATACCTAGGAAGAAAGAAAGAACTAATTAGTGATTAAACCTTTAAATCAGCAGTCTATTGAATTTCTTACAAAACAAATGGAAAGTAAAATCCCCATGTATTTATTTGCTCTCTCCACAATGAACATTGTGCCATTCTGCAGTCTCTCAAATCCATAGTTTGTTTTACAAGTGATAAGGTGGGAATCTGTCAGGGTCACTTTCCTTAACTACTGGGGAAATGAATGCAGTCTGTACTGGCTTACTAGTCAATGTCTTGGTCTATTATACTATGATTACACAATTGCTTATTTGTGCAATTCTAAACTCACTTCTTCTACTTTAATAGATTCACAGAATCCCTCATCCTTTAATTCACCACCTCCACACTGCTTGGCATACTTTGTTCTCAGCTGTTACCTTTACTTTTATTCTTTCCATCATTTTTCCGGATATATCCACACACAATATTCATCGTAGACTATCAGAGGGAACTTTCCAAGCCTTAAGTACTGCATGCACCTTGAGGTGAAAACCATGCAGTTCTTGGAGGCACTCAACTCTGGGGGATAGCAAGTCGCAGAATGATGCTGGCTCCATGTTTCCAAACTTGATACCAAAATCATCATCTGGGATAAGATGAGCAGGTTACCAAACCCAAATAAGAATGCAGATGCTCAACTGGATCACTGAACACTGAGATACAAGATGTGCTCAAAATCAACTGCTTGTGTTTGGGCCAGCATAAGTGCAATCAGTTTCAATTGAAAACAGCCTACGACTGAATACACTCTGTGGCAAGGTATCACTGAAGTGTGAACTGACATGATATAAGAAATGCCAAACATCCTCAAATGCCAAAGCTCTCTGGCAAGAAATACAGTCGCAACTACACCAAGGCCTGAGATGACAAGCATGTGATATAGTTTATTGGTGAAGATGTGCAAGGCATGCCAGAGCCACCAACCTCAGCAACAAAGAGAAAATCTACAACCACACAAGATTCTACATGTCCCTTAGTCCAAAACAGCACCTGATCTATTCTTATTGAATGTACACAACCTCAACCTAGACACTGATTATTTCTCCAAATTTGAAATCGTCTGACAAGTAAAGAAAACTGTATGTCTGTGGCAGACAAAATAAGTGTCATAGTCAACTTTTTCAGTGCGGCCAAAGAAGTCATTTCTAACAATGGACTGCAGTACATGGGCAGACTTTTCAGGGACATGTGATTTGAATGAAGCATAAATTATGTGACATCCTCACCACTATACCCAGATCAAACAGTCTCACAGAATTAATGGTTTACACAATTACATCACTCAACATGAAGTGTAGGACAACGAAACAAAAATTTCCTGACGCCCTGCTATACCTCAGAGCTATATCTCTAGATATGGGGTCACCATCGCCAGTACAGATCATGGCCAGAAGTCAGAATGACCTTGCCAATCCACCTTCTATCCAAATCCTCCAAGATGCAGGTCACACTTCTTGATAAACAAGGGAGAATAAAGATAGAGCCTGACCAGTACACAACTGCAGAACTGCCTCAATAACAAGTTGAGGTTGGACAAAATCTCAGGCACAAAACCACACATTGGACACATTGGACACATGGTTCGCAAAGTTGTTTCCAAAATCTATATTGAGCCCAACTCTTATGAAGTCACAGATGTAATGAAGCAATGCTGAGGAAGAACAGAAGCCTGGTAAGGGAAGCGTACAATATTCCAATTATGCACAGCAAACATGAAAGAATACACCTGGATGATAACATGGTCAACAACCAACACACTGATAAAATGGCTGCAGACAAAGAACAGACAAAAGTGAAATCTATTCTTTCAGAAGGTTACACTGGAAGATCTGGAAGAGTTGTTAAACCACTGTAATTACATCTGGACTGTTAGACTTCAATGCTTGTAAATTTCACAGTTTCCATCTCTCAATTATTAATTTTAATAATATGCAATGTTTACGTATTTTTACTTGTAAATTACAAGAGCTATATTTGTGAAACAGGGAATGTTGTGTTATCTATCACCTTTGGAATGATGTCTCTTTAAAAGATGGCCATGCAAATGAGTCAGGATGTTGTCATGTGACCAGTGGCACTATAGCACTTGAAGCACAGGCTGTGTCTGGAGATTACATTTATCAGTTTAGCTGTAAATAAACTCATCAAGTTAATGTAATGTATCCCATTTATGTAGCATTTAGATTATTGCTTAATTAGTTAATGTTTCTCGTAAGTGGTAACCTCCAGAATGTCAAGCAGCAAAGGTTAGATTCTTTTTAGGGATGGTTATTTCCTGGCTTGATTATTACTTGTGACTTATTGGTCCAAGCCTTACTTGCATTTGGCCATGGATTGCTCCAGTATTTTAGGAGTCATAATTGGTGAACATTGTCAACTTTCAGCAAATGTCCCCACTTCTGAACTTAAAGTCAGAATGTTGTTAGGGCCCACAGATTTTGAAGTATCCAGTGCCTTCAGTCGTTTCTTGATATCACGTAGAATGAATCAAATTGTTTGAAGGTTGGCACCCATGACAGAAGGTAATTAATGAAGCAGCTAAAGATGGTTGAGCCTAAGATGAATATCTACCAGATCCACTAGTTAATCCTTGTCTGAGAGTTATCTTGTGGTGCAATGGTAGTGTCCCCAAATCTGAACAAGGAATCTGGATTCATGTTCCACCTGCTCCAGAGTGTTATAACATCTCTGAACAAGTTGGTTTGAAAAGATCTACCTGAGAAAGTCCTGCAGTGATGTCATGTAGCTGAGATGATTGACACCTAACAAACATAACCATCTCCTTTTACGTGATTTCCCCCGCTCCCAAATCCCATTGACTCTGGTTTTGCTTGGGCTCCTTGATTCCACCATCAGCTCCCTTGATGGCAATAATAGTTACTGCCACTTCCCTTGAGTTCAGCTATTTTGACCATGTTTGGACCTAGGTTGTAATGAAGTCAGGAGCTGAGTATGACCCAAACTAAGTGTCAATAAGTAGGTATTTGTTGAATAAATGCTGCTGATAGCACTCACAATAACACCTTCCATCATTTTGCTAATGAATCAGAGTAGACTGATGGGTAGTAATTGGCGAGGTTGGATTTATCATGTATTTGTAGACAGGACATACTTGGGCAATTTTCCATATTTCCAAGTAGATACCAGCATTATTACTGTGCAAGAGCAGGTTGTCTATGGATATGGCAACTTTTGAGCACAAGCCTTCAGTACAAGCCAATATGTTGTCAGAGCCCACAGCTTTTGAATTACCCAGTGTCTTCAGCCATTTCTGATATCACATAGAATGAATCAAACTGGTGATGGTTGGCACTCATGATGCTGGGGACCTCAATTTAGCACTTCTGGCTGAATGTTGTTGCAAATTCTTCAGCCTTATCTTTCATGAATGTACTTGACCTCCCATATCATTGAGGATGGGATTATTTGCTGAACCTGCTCTTTCAGTAAATAATACAATTGCCCAGCACCATTCATGACTCGATATACAAAGTTTAGAACTGATCCATTGGTTGTGGGATTGCTTAGCACCATCTACTGCATGCTCCTTACATTATTAGGCAAGCAAGTAGAGTGTTGTAGCTTCACCAGGTTGACACTTCAGTTTTTTTTTTAAGCATGCCCTCTTGCACTCCTCAGTGAACCAGAGTTAATCTCCACACTCAATGCTAATGATAGATTGGGGGATATGGCCAGGGCAGTGAAGTTGTACATTGTGATTGAATACAATTCTGCAAATAGCCCACATCACTTTATGAATAACCAGTTGGGAGTTGCTAGATTTGTAAGAAATCTATCCCATTCAGCACAGTAGTATTGTTACACAAAATGATTTAGGATATCCTCGATGTGAAGATAGGACTTTGTTTCCACAAGGACTACACTGTGATCACTGTTCTGATTCTTACATGGACGGACACATCTGTGACAGACAGGCTGGTGAGGATGAGATCAAATATCTTTTCCCTTCTTGTTGGTTTCCACACCATCCGCCAAATGCTTAGTCTAGCAGATATGTTCTTTAGGTTAGTAGGAACTGCAGATGCTGGAGAATCTGAGATAACAAGGTGTAGAGCTGGATGAACACAGCAGGCCAAGCAACATCAGAGGAGCAGGAAGGCTGACGTTTCGGGCCTAGACCCTTCTTCAGAAATGGGGGAGGGGAAGTGGGTTCTGAAATAAATAGGGAGGTGGATAGAAGATGGATAGAGGAGAAGATAGGTGGAGAGGAGACAGACAGGTCAAAGAGGCGGGGATGGAGCCAGTAAAGGTTAGCTTGGTCAATAGCAGTGCTAATCTTAGTAATGAACATTGAAATCACTCATCCACTTCACACTGCATCTTTGCCACCTACCACATCCAAGTAATGTTTAACATAGAGGAGAATCAATTCATCAGCTAAGTATAATGATGGGGTTTGGTAGGTGGGTGTGTGGTAGTCAGCAAGAGATTTCGTTGTCTACATTTGCCCTGAGGCCATTAGACTTCATGGGGTCTGAAGTCAATGTTGTGGACTCCCAAGGTAACACCTTCCCAACTGTATGTACCATGGTACTGCTGCATCTGAAGGGTCTGTCCTTTCAGTGGGACAGGACATATTCAGGAAAGGTGATGGTCGTGTCTCGAACACTGTATTTCAGGTACAATTCCACAAGTGTGGCTATGCCAGGCTATTGCTTAATTAGTATGAGAGAATTCTGGCACAAGTCTCCAGATTTTCATAAGAACAACTTTGCAGGGTTGATAGGGCGGTGTGTTATCATCACTTCTGGTATCTTGTTCAACGTCAGGTGGCTGGTCCAGTTTAATCTCTTTCATAGAGTTATATAGCATGAAAACAGACCCTTCGATTCAACTTGTCGCTGCTGACCAGGTCTCCTAAAATAAACTAGTCCCACTTGCCTGCGTTTGGCCAATATCCCTCTTAAACCCTTCCTATTCATGTACCTCTCCAAATGTACCTCACGTTCTCTGGCAGCTTGT